ACCGTTTGACCCACATGTTTGAAATTGGCGTATAGTTGTTACTGCAATGGAGAGGTTTGAACGTCCTATTTTGGAGCACACCAGTCGACATACCTTTCGAGCCACGGCAATTTTTTGGCAAAAATGGGAATTGCCATTAGTCAGTTGAGGTCCAACGGATTTTGCTCATTTTTGGTTATGTGAATGAATAATGGGCTAGGCGGTTTTGATATTTTAAAAAAAAAATTATGCCAAATTAGGTTAGGTTTTGGTAATTATATTGCCCATATTATATAGACACGCAGATAACAGTCTGTGGTGTCCACACTCGTCTGGTTCGTTTTACAAGATTTCATTGACAAATATCTTTAATGCCAAAATTTGTATTTCCTCTCGCATAGGTAGAGCAGCATGAACCTACCCTAACCATCTATCATTGCTAACATTGATATGCAGAAGTAGGGCAGCATGAGTCCAAGCTTACTATCTACCATTACCTAAATCAGACCCCGACACGGATCACTATGAGCTCACCTTCCATCGGCTTCACGATCTGCAGCTTCTCCGGGTAGAAGCTCTTGTACCCGTAGAGCGCCGCCATGCGCGACGCATCGCTGCCGTGCGACATGTAGCTCTCCGGCGTCCAGCACTGATTCGGCGTCGCCGACGCGTCCATCTCGCCGCCCACCTCCACCTCAACCTCCTCCTCCTCCTCCTCGTGCCGTCGCCGGTCGTCGGCGCGAAACTGCTGCTGGTTGATCTCGTTGGCGCGGCGCAGCGACAGTCGGCGAAGTGCCGTCTCGAGGTCGTTTGATCCGGGCACGCCCGCCTTGCCCAGGTACGGACTGGAGCTGCAACGGCCACAGCACCACGGTCATACACCCCGTCCGTGATCCACGTACGACGGCCCCAAACTCGCGAAAATTCATGGTCACGCAACTCAGTAAATAACATAAATGATCTACACAGCCCTGCGAAAATTCCCACGCGCCGCTCGTCCCACACTCGCGAAAATTCCACCTCGCCCAAACCTAAAAATTTGGGCCAGTGAAAAATTTCATTTCGCTCCCCCCGGAGATGAAATCTCCTATTCCAGTATTAGACTGCACACCGCTTGATCGCATCCCTCCAGCTTTACTGTCAATATTTGATGTAATGATTTGGGAAATGCATTTGAGTTAGATAAGTTGGTTTGAAAATGTTGCCTCAGTGAAAAACATCGATGTGCAAACCTTAAAATGGGTTTGTACCTTGAACCCCTTTTTTTATTATCTTGCATCTTGTTTGTGCATGTTCAAACGTGTCCGTACCTCAAACACACTTTCGTCATAATATTTGTCGAAGTTTGTGATAACAAAGCTGAGCGGGGCGCATTGCCAGAAACACCGAGCCCCGGAAATGCCAAAAAGAGCCCCCGTAAATTTGCATAGAGTTCAATGCAAGCCAAATTTTAGAGTGCTATTTTCATACGATGGCAGCGTGCTCGAGACTGGAGACGCAGCGTACCTGAAGGGACTCTCGGTGCGGCTGTCCTCCGTGTCGCCCATGTAGTTCTCGCTGACGACACTCGCGCAGTCGAGCGAGTCATTGACAGATCCGCCGCCGCCGCCCCCGCCGCACGCCCGGCCGGACGCGTCGTGCGCCGACGCGGGCCGCGATGACTTGCGACTTGCCGAGTGGCTGCGATGCGTGTGCCTGGCTGCGCGCGACGTCTCCATCACCTTTCGCACGTGTTCCCTGCGTGGACACGGAGACACCGATCGTGATTGCGATGCAAGGTAGCGAGTGGGTTAGGGCGGTGGTAACCATTGCCCGTGTGCTGTTGTTCTATTGTCGCGGCGACCGTTGTTCGCAGAGCGCACCGGAACGGATGAACCTCGCCTAATTGAAACGCGTGCGCAGCAGCGTGATCGCAGCTCAGGCATCTGTTCGGCCAGCACAAGCAACCAGAAGCAACCCGGAAAATGTTGATTACAAACACGCAGTGACGAATTTGCATTTGCCAGTTACGTGGAGATTTAAAAACCTCTTCGCTTATGGTTAGGAGGTCATAGAGATTAGTAGAGTGAGAGTGAGAGTGAGAGTGAGAGAGAGAGAGAGAGAGAGAGAGAGAGAGAGAGAGAGAGAGAGAGAGAGAGAGAGAGAGAGAGAGTAGAGGTAGCATTTGGTTTTAGGGTGTCAGGTAAGAATCATGGATTACTATAGAAGATTATTGAAACAACATTGACAAAAGAATACATTTCAACCAAATTAAAGATGTTTTCCACATGCTAGCAATGTACTCTTAGCATTGTACTCTATTATTAATTGGCTCCTGTACTTGTGCAATGTACAATGTGCTAATACAAAGGATCAAGACACTCACAAAACACGTATACAGGCCTGCACGCACGCACTCACGCACGCACGCACGCACACTACAGCTACAACGTGAAGGGGTCGTAGTGGTGACAGTCTCGCGTCCATACCCGCAGCACACGTGCGACTCACCTGCTCTCGCCGGGCGAGTAACCGGGCTGGCAGTCGGACCTCAGCGAGGCGTCCAGCTCGCAGGCGAGGGAGTCGGGCGGCAGAAAGGGGCTGACGATGGCGTAGGGAGTGCGGCGCGCGCTCGGGTGGCTGCCGTGCCGCGTGCGCCTCGTCTCCGCCTGCAGCTCCTGCAGCATCGCCATGCACTCCTGGAACCTGCCCTGCAGCTCCATCAGCTGCAGAGACACCGAGCGCACAACTGCAGCATGCAGCTAACGCGTGCCAGCGCGGCGACCGCCGTGCAATAACTGGCCTGGCGGCCCGGGCATTAAGCTGCGCGGCAATTTAAGTCAGCTTACCTAGAATTCCGCAGGAGCGAAATGTCCAAAATATTTATTCTACCCTGTGTTATCAGAAAAATTCGGGGAGAGAGGAGTTATAAAAAATATCAGACTCGATTTAATGCTGGGACAGATCCTACACCTGATTGCAACTTTTGTGAAAAGAAAAATAACATGACAAAATGACAATTATATTAAGGCCATAATAGTTTCACATCGTGTAATCGTAAATGTATCAATAAATAAAATAATTTCTTGAATGACCGTTTTAGATATCTGGTTATAACAACCATTGTTTATGTCGATCAATCTCTTATTTAAAGCGGGTGATTAAAAATGGATGGAATCTCCTCTTATAAAGTCGGTTACTAGTAAGTTCTGGTTGTTGTACATCACTTACCAAGCTACAATACGATGTTGACATGACAAGATTTCTAACATTTTCTCACAATACAGTTACAGTACACCTTTGACATAATTATATTGACATTGACATACAACTATCCTGGCAATAGTGACAAGAAGCACTTATATATCAGGGTGTATTAAGTATATACTTAATATGCTCTTTTACATATATGTATATAATCGAAAATGAAAGGAAAGAATGAGGAAAAAAAAGGAATTAATTGAAACTGTGAACCCATAATTAAATAAGAACTAGAGCTCCTCGCAAACCCACTAGAGGCTTATAAACGTAGAGAAAACAGATGCAGAGAGTACTCCTTGTAATTAGACAGATGAATCATTCATACCTCAGCAGTCAGCTGGTGCTGGCTTGCCTTAGAAGCTGCCAGAGTCTCCTGAGCATCATAACTTTCCACTGACAGCTGTAACACATACATGTATTCAGCAATGGTGTTGGCTAATACACAAATACCAAGCATTCGAACAGAAGTAATATGTTAAGGTGTCAATGTCATGTATATGTTATGCATGTAATACATGGAGAACACATCCAAACACACACGCACGCACTCACGCACGCACGCACACACACACACACTCAGAATTCAAAAAAATCAAAAACAAATGTTACTTTTTTGACTTGTATCGTCCTTTTTTCGTATCTTTAGATCATTTGCAATCTGTTACAGTCCAGCAACGCTACCTCGAATTCAGTTAGCTGTTGGCAAAACTAAGAGCAGAATATAACTGTGCAAACCTTCTTGCATTTTTTCTGCAGCTCACAGATCTGAGTCAGCAGATGTGTGATTTCTTCTTGCTGTTTGTAGTTGTCCTCCGTTTTTCTGGACAGCTCCGTAGCTAGCTGGTTCACCTCATGGTTAGTCTCAACTATAAACAGTTGTGTCTAAATTAGAGCCAATGCACATGAGCCGATTAATTATTGCATTTTACTGCTTTGAAACATCTTGAATATCGAGTGGATTGACAAGTACTCTGATGGCACAAACATCATGAAGCTTGGCTTTTTAACACACCTAGTTGCTTCACGCAGTCGGTCACGAGCACTTTTTCTTGTGCTTCTGCCTCAGCTGTGCCATCTCTGATGGAGCAAGTCTACAGTGAATACAAGGATGTGCATGATTATTGATTACTAACACAATATATGGTAAATACTTAATGCCCATGGATATCCTAATACCACTTACTAACAATGCTACCAACAATTCCTGCTTCTAATAAAACGTTTTAGTACCAGCTCTCAATTTTTACGTTCCAAGTACATCATCATAAATGTTCAACACATTTGTTCACGATATGCTTGGCTATTTAAAAATGCTGAAAAGTATTAGTGCATGTTATATGAAATATATCCATAACCGATAACACATTTTTATATTATGCATTAGTAGATTTCTGCACACAGTTTACTTTGGCAGGGTATGTAGGCATCAGCAGGATATAAAAAATCATAAATAAAGTTCCACATTTCAGCAACGGTCACACTCTTCACATTCTTTTACTACCAACAATAGCTTGCAATATTGTTCATCAAAGGACCCCTTTAAAGAACCCCTTGCGAAATTTGTAATATATTTTATTGCAACAAATACACATAAAAACATTTGTCAAACACACCGTATTTCTCTGCAACTTTAAATTACCTGTCATAATAAGGCTATATCTCATCGTTAATGGTGGGCTCTTAATCATAAGAATTAATTTATTGGTAATGTGTGCTGGATGATTCAGATGCTCCTGAGACATGATCACCAAGGGAATAGCCAACAACCTTTAGCACTTAATTCTAATGAAGTGAATGATTTGATTGTGTTTCCTGTATGATACCCCCAGGAACTTCAGTGTTACATTCAGACTATGCTCAGGATTACCTCCAACGGATAGATACGGGGTCTAGAAATGAGCTCACCATTTCCTTCAGTGTGACGTTCTCTTGTTGAAGATGGTCGACCTTGCACTGCAGCACGGTGATATGCTGCAGGCTGGCACCACATCGCTGGTCGCTGGCAGTGGCGACAAGAACAGAGCATCAGCACACATCAGAGTACTAGCCGCATCCTGCTTCTAATGCAGCAACAGTTCAACGGATTCCCAAGTGCAGAATCAGCGTCAATCAAATCGACGTAGCGTTTGCTAAATCAGCCCACCCCGCAGTTTTACCTCTAAACGCATTTCTTTACATCGACCATTAAGTGCGTACTATTCATGCTATAATCCAATCAGTGCAATCACACACCTAAAAACGTGTTATACCGGGAGAACAGTGTACCCACAAGGTTCACCTGATAGACCTGTAGTGCTCAACAGTAACTCAACGCCTACCCGACCCCCATCGGGTCCATACCTATGTGTCCCAGTACCTATGTGTCCCAGTACCCAGGTACCTAGCTATGTGTCCCGGTACCTATGTGTCCCAGTCCCTATGTGTCCCGGTACTTATGTGTCCCAGTACCCAGGTACCTAG